GTGTGTGTGTGTGTGTGTGTGTGTGTGTGTGTGTGTGTATATATATATATATATATATATATAGAGAGAGAGAGAGAGAGTGAGAGAGAGAGAGAGAGATGGAGTTTTGCTCTTGTTGCCCAGGCTGGAGTGCAATGGTGCGAACTTGGCTCACTGCAACCTCTGCCTCCCAGGTTCAAGCTATTCTCCTGCTTCAGTCTCCCGAGTAGCTGGGATTGCAGGTACCTGCCACAAGGCCCAGCTAATTTTTGTATTTCTGGCAGAGCCCCGTTGGCCATGCTGGTCTGAGACTCCTGACCTCTAGTGATCTTTCCGCCATTTTAAGCCACATTTTCCTCATCTATAACTGGGAATGACACAGTTCTTACAGCAGAAAGCTTGGCATAGTGCCTGACATAGAGTAAGTGGCAATACAAGTTCCTGTCATTAGTACTATTGTTTTTTGTTGCTGTTGTTGTTTTTTAGAGACTGGGTCTCCCTTTGTCACCCAGCTGGAGTGTAGTAGTGAAATCACAGCTCACCGCATTCTCAAACTCCTGGACTCAAGCCATCCTCATGCCTCAGCCTCCCAAAATAGTTAGGACCGCAGGAGCACACCACCATACCCAGCTAATTTTTATTTTTACTTTTTTAGAGACAGGGTCTCACTATGTTGCCCAGGTTGGTTTTGAACTACTTGCCTCAAAAATTTCTCCTGCCTCAGCCTCCCAAAGTGCTGTGATTACCTATGAGAGTCACCTCGGTTGGCCCTATTATTTAGCAGAACTTTTCTCAGTGTCTGGCAAACAAGACCTAAAGGACTTTGAACTGCTTAAACAACCACTAGAAAGCACCTTACAAAACAAAGATGCCAACGTATTTACTATTTATGTAAAATACATAAACAGGAGGAAGTCACATAAATCACAAGCTGCTATTTTCCTTAGAATCTACAACAACCATATTATTTTATGAAAAACTGGGCCATATTAAATTACTCAGGCCTTGGAAATTTGTAAACCTGTACAATTCCGCATTGGAAATAGCCATTTATATGTACTGTCACTTAAAACACAAATTATGGTTGGTGTAAAAGATTTTAATTCACATAAATTTACTGGTAAAAACTACATATCTAGGAGAGAACTACTCAGGGCTTGCCACACATATAAAGAGGCTGCTGGAAGTCCTGCAGCTGGTTACCTTCTCTTAGGGTGTCAGGGGCTGGGTAGCATGGAGGATAAGAAGGGAAGGGGCTGGGCACAGTGGCTCACACCTGTCATCCCAGCACTCTGAGAGGCCAAGGCAGAAGATCACTTGAACCCAGGAGTTCAAGACCAGCCGGGCAACATAGTGGGACCCCATTTCTACAAAATAAACAAACAAATAATTAACTGAGGTGGTGGCACGCACCTGTGGTCACTGCAGTCCCAGTAACTCGGGAGGCTGAGATGGGAGAATTGCTTGAACCCAGGAGGGCAAGGCTGCAGTGAGCCACGATTGCACCAGTGTCCTCCAGCCTAGGTGACAAAAATATATATATATACATATATATTTGTAGCATCTGCTACAAATGTCTTAGAAATGTACTGTAACTCAGAACATGGTGAAATGTATGATTCTGCGAATCTACTTTAGAACCCCACTTTTATTACAGGAAGCAGAATAACTTGCAATGTTACTACTTCTAAAACTTTGTTCCGTAAAATGAACGTTTGAAACTAAGCTCCATCGAATAGGGCTCTGGGCAATTGTAATCATCTTTCCTCTTAGAAAGAACTACTTTTTAATCTAGTTCTCCTTAGCCAAGTGACAAATCCATCATAACTTTGACACATCGTATACTCTGAATCAGTAGTCTAATGTATCATAAATTAATGCTAGCACCAGTACGACATTTTGATCACTATATCTGTTACAAAAAAATCTAAATGTGTTAAAACCATCTGATAACTCTGCCCTCAAGTTTTCCAGGCCATTTAATTATTAAATTTCCCTTGTGAAAGGGATCTCTATTGTATGCAATTCAGACTTTGGTGGATGGCAGGGTTTTTTTTTCTGAGGTCACCAGTGCTTTTAACCACTGCCTAAAGAGCACCCTGTGCTGATTAACATGCCTCGGATTAACTAGATTTAGCATTCGGCAATCATACTCCATTCAGCAGGGCCCATCTCTGGTGAATCGTGGACATTAATGACAGTTGCAAGAGCTCAAATATTATATAATCACTAATTACATTCTGTGCAATTAGTGGAGGCTCATCAGTGTGAATCACTAATGGCTGATCACCCTGTTCTCTCTGGAAAGAAATAGACGGCCTGCATAATTTTCTGATTGTATTAGCATAGTTACAAACGTTATTAACGAACTTTGGTGACCATGAAGAGGCTTGATGCCTGTGATGGACAAAGGCAAGAGGCTCTGCTTGATGGGCACAGACACTTCATTTTGAACATGAGCCCTGGGTTTGTGGTTTTCTGGTGTGACTCACTCACTCCTCACCTTCCAAATGGAAACCACACGCAGCATCTTGGCCACCCAGCCAATAAATAACTTGCACACAAGCCAGTTTTTAAAAATGTTTAAAAGCTGTGGATTTGGATTTTTCTTTTTCTTTTTCTTTTTTTTTTTTTTTTTTTTTTTTTTTTTTTTTTTTTTTTTTTCGGAGTTTCGCTCTTGTTACCCAGGCTGGAGTGCAATGGCGCGATCTCGGCTCACCGCAACCTCCGCCTCCTGGGTTCAGGCAATTCTCCTGCCTCAGCCTCCCGAGTAGCTGGGATTACAGGCACGCGCCACCATGCCCAGCTAATTTTTGTATTTTTAGTAGAGACGGGGTTTCACCATGTTGACCAGGATGGTCTCGATCTCTTGACCTCGTGATCCACCTGCCTCGGCCTCCCAAAGTGCTGGGATTACAAGCATGAGCCACCGCTCCCAGCCCTGTATTTTTCGTAAACTGGTTTTCAGAAAGCCAAGCTTTAAGAATTTGTGGGACACCTGAATATAAAACTGGTGACTAAATAGGAGAAACACCTCTGAAATGGTGAGTTTTTCTGAATTTTATTTAACCCTGTATACATTGGGCCATGATATTCGTTTCGCCGTCTTGCCGTAATAAAATATCACAGACCGGATGGCCTAAACATCAGAAGTTTATTTCTCACAGTCCACAGGCTGAAAGTCAGAGGCAAGTCTGGCTTCTTCTGAGGCCTCCTCTCTCCTTGGGTTGCAGATGGCCATCTTCTTGCTGCCTCTCCACATGGCTTTTTTCTCTGTGCGAGGGCATCCCTGATGTCCCTGTGTGTGTCCAGGTTTCCCTGTCTTATAAGGACACAGTCAGATTGAATTAGGGCCCACCCATATGACCTCATTTTATCTCAATAACCTATTTATTTATTTATGTTTCGAGGCAGGATTTCACTCTGTCGCCCAGGTTGGAGTGCAGTGATGTGATCTCGGCTCACTGCAACCTCTGCCTCCCAGGTTCAAGCAGTTCTCCTGCCTCAGCCTCCTGAGTAGCTAGGATTACAGGAACGTGCCACCGCGCCCAGCTGATTTTTATATTTTTAGTAGAGACAGTTTGGCCTTGTTGGCCTGGCCGGTCTCAAATTCCTGGCTTCAAGCCATCCTTCCACCTCGGCCTCTCAAAGTGCCGGGTCTACAGGTGTGAGCCACTGTGCCTGGCCTTAATTACCTCTTTAAAGGGCCTATTTCCAAAACAGTCACGCTCTGAGGGAACTGGGCTTTGACCTATGAATTTTGGGAGAACACAGATCTGCCTACAACCGCAGGATGTTTACAAACTACCAATGTTGTAACCCAAGTCGTTCTTGCTGGAAGACTGGCAACGGGCTTGACTACATAAATATCTTAAGGATGTCCTTTGTGGGGAGCTACACTGTTTAAAATGGTAGTCAACAGCCACTTGTGGCTACCCTGTTCAATAGCCATTGTGACTGTTGAACACTGACATGTGGTGAGAACTGATTTTTTTTTAAACTTTCATTTTAACTAATTTAAATTTAAAAACTAAAGAAGGGTAAAACTATTTTTCTGCTAAAGATAGCTTTATTGGGTTGATAGAAATACATTTAATTTCGATCATTACAAATTTAGTGCCTGGATAGAGACGTGGTAAAAGTGTAAAATACACACTGGCATTCAAAGACTTAGAATGAAAAAAGTGAAATCTCTCTTTAATAATTTTTATTTTATGTGTTGAAATGAAAATATTTTTAATATCTTGGGCTAAATGAAATATATTAATAAACTCAATTTCACCTGTTTCTTTTCTTTTTTTAATAATGTGGCTACTAGATAATTTTAAATGACAGATCTGGTTTGCACTAGATTCCTGTTGAACAACTTTGGATTACAGCTTTAACTCATTGCTCACCAAAGGTGGGTAAGTAAATTAACTAAAATATGAATTCTTTTTGCCAAAAGGATTAAAGTTCCAGGTTCTTTTGTGTCCTCTCTACAAAGATTAAGATAATTGAAACCAACCATTTATTCTTGGATACTAATATATTACTAAATCTTCCATTACTTGGCATATTTGTAAGTTTTCTCAATAATATTTTCAACATTAAAATCTTGTTAAACACACCTATATTTAAGAATCAGAAATAATTTTCCAAATAATGAAAAGATTCTTCCTTATAAACTAATCCTTCTATTCTGATACCCTGGTTTGTGTGTCCGTGTGTGTGTGTGTGTGTGTGTGTGTGTGTGTGTGTTTTTCAAAATGCCCTGGCTTAATTTGTCTTCCCATCCCACTTACCTTGTTTTCTTCTGCCCTCCTGACTCAGTTACTAGGAGATTCCTAAGCAAAGCATCTCATGTCTGATGAGGCCCAGAGGCTTACACCTGTAATCCTAGCACTTTGGGAGGCCAAGTAGAGAGGATAACTTGAAGCGAGAAATTCAAGACCAGCCTGGGTGACACAGCAAGACCCTGTCCTGTTTTTATAAAAAAAATTTTTTAAATTAAAAATTAGCCAAGTGTGGTGTCTACTCAAGAGGCTGAGGCAGGAGAATAACTTGAACCCACAAGTTAGAGGCTGCAGTAAGCTATACTTGCATCACTGCACTCCAGCCTGGGCGATAGAACCAGACCCTGTCTCCAAATAAATAAATAAAGGCATCTATATCCTTTCTTTCTTCTATTTAACACATGCTGAAAACTCACTCTAATTTCTTCATCTGCAGCATAGTAGAGAAAAGAAAGCCCGTGAGGTCTCTGGTTATGGTACAACTTTTACATAGGCCTGATATAGTCAGTGGTGGGGCAGTGAGGGTTTGAGGGGCCGTAGGAATTGAATTCTAAGGTTTTGTAGAAGATTTTGTGGGTGATTTTTGTAAATTACTCTACTTAATATTACAGCATTAAAAAGTAAAGAATTAAAAGTTAAAAATTAAAATAAGGTAATAGATACAAGATCAGAATAACTGGTTGGTTTTCTCTATCCGTTTCTTAAGCAGCTTAATCCCCAAATGTCATAAAGAACAACTAACAAATAGGACACAGAACTTCTGGACACCCGACCCCATGACACAGTTCATCCTTCTCCACCCACCAGTCCCTCTAAGCCCCTGATGGGGAATCTCTAAAAATTCCCTAAATGACCAGAGAATCAGTCTAGTGTCACGTCATCACTCTAATATATGGGACAAGGGGAATGATCAAAAAGACAGTTTTTGCCTTATCACTTTGTTCTTTCTGGCACCAGTCAGTCTTCAGAAATAACAAAATCAATGCAAACACGTTTGTTGTAAGATGCCTACTTTGAAGATCATTTGCTACCTAACTATCTTGGTCATTTACATGGAATACAGGGAGGATTTCAAAAAGTCTCTCTCCCTTGTTACTCAGTTAAAAGGAAGACTCAGGTGTTGAGTTTGGTTTTGTGTGTATGTGTGTGTGTGTTTTCATATTGGATAAGGCTTCTATTTCACACACACAAGAATTCCCATGTGGGTTTTTTTTTTACTTTTTGTCCTTTAATTGAAATGATGCAGATTGAATCAAACATGAAAAATGCATTCAGCCCAAAAAAGGAAAAAATATTTATAGCCAGAAAAGTAACATGTAAGTGTCTGGTCTCATATAAATAAAGCAAATTTTTTTCACTGTATATAATAGCAGTAATACATTGCAGAGTTGCTTACGTTAGAAAATACAAGAGAAAAAAAGATTGGTAAATGTAGCCAGCAGACAGATACAAAAGATCGACTTACCAAAACTTGGAAGGGGAAGATGAAGAAAGGGTGTACATGAATCAAGTCCTCATCTGATGTAACAAGTTCAGTAGGAAATGTGGAAAGAAAAAAAATCAAGAACTAATGGGAGGCCACATTAATCAGAGTTACGGAGGCAACTACTGAAAAATAGGAAATCAAAGAAAGTTTAAAGTTGTTGAAGGGATTTTGCTTTTCATTGGCGACCTTTGGCACTCCTTGGTTTTCTTTAACACATACACAAATATTATTTTCAGAATATCTTTCCATTTGAGAAATAACAATCTACACTCTACATTTAAATCTCTCATTTACTTCTCACCCACTGTCATCTGCCTCACATTCCCCACCCCACTACCCTCCCATCGCCTAAAACACCCATCCTCTTTCTTTTCCTCTTTCCATCCCGCCGTGTTTCACTTGCAACCACCAGAAGGCTTTTGTTAATGTTACTCAATCTGCTCTCTTGAATGACTTCCTAATTAGCAAATCCAAGGGACACAATTCAAGTTGTGTTCCTTAAGGCCCTATCCTCTCTCCTTTTCTTTTTTCATTCTATTCACTCTCCGTGAGTAATATCATTTCCTACCCATGTATGCAACATCTATGTTGATGGCTACTAAACCAGTCTGTCCTCTCCAAAGTATGAGTTATCTACCAACAGCCTGTTGAACCTTACAGATGATCAGATCGGCACTTGAAATTCAATGTGCCCAAATCTCAGGTCTCCATCTTTTTTTCTCCAACCTGCTCTCACTCTCCATTTGCTATTTTGGTAAATAGCTTCTAGCCTGTTACCTAGCCTGAAGACAAGGGAGTTGTCCTAGATTTATGCATCTCACTCATGAAACACTGGAAACAAACTACATTAAAACATATGAGGACTCGAAGACAGGAAACCTGTAAAACAGAAGATATTCAAGAAGTACCACGCATTTGAGAAAAATAAATACCATAAAATAAAAGAGGCAAATTCAAGAAGCATAAGAACAAACACCTGAAAAAAGGAAATGTTTGTCTTCATTCACAAATGTCATGATTGTATATGTTAAAAATCAAAAAGTCTACAAAAATTTACTAAAACTAATGAATAAATAGAATAAGTCAGCTGGATACAAGATCAATATGTAAAATTAATTTTATTCTGTATACCAGCAACAAACAGGTGGAAAATAATTCTAATGCCATTTACAATAGTATCAAAAACATCAAATGCCCAGGAATGACTGTAACAAAATATGTGCAAGACATTTAAACTACCATAAAGTATTACTGAAAAAAACTAAAGACTTCAATAAATGCAGAGATATACCATTTTCATTGAGTGGCAAACTCAATATTGTAGATAGCAATTCATCCTACACTGAGCTATTAATTCACCATGTTTCTAATAAAAACTCTAGCAAGCTTTATTTTAGAAATCAACAAGTTGATTTTATAATGTATGTGAAATACAAAGGCCCTAGATTAGCAAAGACAATCATAAGAAAAAAACCAAAGCAGGAGGACTTATACTACCAGCACGTTTTAAGCCTTATTACAAAGCTGCATGAATTAAAATTGTGCATCTATGCCAAGAAAAAACAAAACAAACAAAGCAGTACATCTGTGCAAAGACATACACACAGATCAAAGTAATAGACTAGAGTTAAAAAATAGACCCATAATTTTCCTTTCCTTTCTCTCCTTTTTTTTTTTTTTTTTTTTGAGACAGAGTTTC